TACCTGCTTTCCCCTAACTTGGCCTTCAATATGTATTCCTTGTCTTGTAATATAGCTAAATTCATCTATTTGTCTTGGTGTATGTCTGTTGCACATAGATCACCAGGGTTTTTTTTTTAGCTTCAGGGATTTGTATACTTAATTCTTTCCTCACGTGTGGCAGGTTTTCCTCTGTTATTTCCTTGATCAGTTTCTATATCTACCACTAGTTCCTAACCCCCACGCCGCCACCACCCTTTCCCTTTTGGGATATACAACATTCTTATATTGACTATTTTCATGCTATTGGACAGTTCCCAATTTGCTTCATAATAACTATAATACTAATAAATGTAGCTAAAGATATAATACTACATATATGTAAATAAAACAAATATTTAAATACATATTTATTATAGAGTAATTATATACAATATAATATATAATATATATAAATTATGCATAATATATTATATAATATGTCCATATATACTGTATTTACTTACTTTACATAAGTATAAATAAATGTAATAAATCATATTTGTATAAATGCAAGTATATATTTTGTAATTATTATTACATATTATTATATCTAGTATCATTATTGTATCTTGATCTTGTTTTTTCTACCTGGGTCCTTGGTGCATTACTGTCTTTGAGGTAACTGATTTTACTCTCCATTGGATATATTCTACTAACATAGCCTTCTTTAGGATTTGTCTATCTAATTTACTGAGAATTTTGCTCCTTGATTTCCTTTTGTTGACCTTGAATTTCTATTATCTGTTCACGGATTTATTTCTGAGCTTGTTTCTTTTATTCCCTGAAATTTGTTGCGTCTCTGATTAATTTTCTGAATTCTCTTGAGCTCTTTTGGATTTGCTTCCTTAGTTCTCCTATATAACTTTGACTTATTTTCTTCTATTTCTCTATTATAGAAGTTCTATCTGATAAGGAGAGATATAGGCTTTCATCTTTTCCTGTTTGGATTCCAGAAAGTTTTCTCCACTTTTACAGTGCTCTCTTAAGGTTTCCTAAGTTATACTTTTTGGTCTGCCCTTTTTGTTACCTGTGGTCACCTTATTTATTATTAATTTGAGATTTCTAGGAGTAATTTATGTGACTAAACTAATTGGCTTTTCTGGAAGTGAGGTTTTGTCTTTTCTATATTTTACCTTTTCTGAATTCTGGATGTATTGAGATCTGTTTTATAGTTGCTGTGACAATAAGTTGTGTGAGGAACTTGGAAAGTTCCAAATCTTGGCATGCAAGAGTGTGGCTAGGTCATCCCGTGGTAACCCCAATATCCTTCCTTTCTGGGGTGTGAGAGGAGTGACTTGGCATTCCTTGTGCATTCATTGTACCTCATAAGGTCAGAACGAGTCTCAGTGTGTAGGAAAGAAGACTGTAAACCAGAATGCTTTCTCTCCTAATTTTCCTACCAGAGACCCGCCCTGTGTAAGGCATCCCAGCTCCTCCATAACATTTTCACCTCCTTCAAGGGTATATGCCTTCAGGCATCCTCTGGTCTCCCCCTACTCCTGCTTTCATGGATGATCTGACAGCACTGCCATTGTGTCTTGCGCTCCAGCCCACAAATCCTCAGGTAACACTCTCTACCCACTTCCAGTTTACTATATGGTGTAACTCCTCAGTGTCAACTCTGTTGAAGTCTGTGCTGGTTTCTGCTGTACAATGGATAATCAATCCTATTTCCCTTCGTGATGCCATTTCTTGAACTCTGCCCCTTTAACTAACTAGGCTAAATACTGCCTCTGGTTGGAATCAGGCTCTGCTGATCATGTCCAGGAGCTGGTCTCCAGGGCTGTGAATGGTGAGTAGATTTCATGTGGGTGGCTGGTGACTAATGGGCTC